GGAATGATATAAGAATGATTATTTTGATGCTTTTATGTCAATTTATATTTATTTTATACTCATTTTATATGCAGCTTATCTGTACAACTCAGGCCTGTACTGCAGATGTGTTTTGGAGGAATGAAAATAAGCTTCCGGGAGTGCTCTTGCCGCAAGATCTGGCCCGTCTTGCGATTACAGTGACCCGGACTTTGCTGTAAACAGGTCTTTCATCCACCCACGACCTTGGGTTTGAAAGACATGTTTTTATGAGCCATCGCTCTGCTGTACAAACTGCCTTGATGATGGAAAACATGTTTTGCTCTGCCCGCACGTCACCCAGTCAGAGGGGGAGTATAAAAGTGTAACACCCAGAATAAGAGTTGAAGTCTGCTGTAGGTCTGGATCCGATGCCCAGCCTGAATTGATGTTACCTTTCTACTCGAACTGAAAATGGCTTCCTCGGTCTGGTGTCACGGTGAGGAGTTTTTACATCAATGCTTGATTTGTACTAAATGTACGTTGCTTTGCTGTATCTGTGGCGGTTTAATAAATGACACTTATTATTCTAGCAGAAAACAGCCTGAGAGTTTTCATTCATTGCTCTGACTTTTCCCTGAACCTGTATCTATCTTGTTAAAGATAATTTCATAGAACATTTCTGGCGTCACGAATAGGATAGTGGGAAGGCTGAGCAATGAAAAAGGAAAAAGAGATAAAAGTTGAGAAAAAGTTGATTCAGACGCCTGAGGAGGCGTGAGCTGAATGGAGAAAAATTTGATTCAGACGCCTGAGGAGGCGTGAGTGGAACAGAGAAAAAGTTGTACTGGGATGGGAAGAAGTCCCATTCCAGTTGTTAGTGTTGTGTTTGAGAGGTGGAGGAGGTGCCCCGAGCCTTGGGACGAGTCTCTGAAAGCAGATAGTCCAGGTGATGTTTTGACCGCTTTGCAGGCAATAGAGGTCAGAAAGAAGGCACCAGTGACAGGGCTTCAGCGTCTTATGTGGATGTGTGCGGCAGCCTGGGAAAAAAACTACATGAGGAAAGTCAGAAAATGCAATTACAGGCTTAACGGAGCAAACAAGAATGTGAGGACCGCCTGCTTGTTGAATGAACGGCACATTCAATTGCTCGGTGCTCAGTTTGAGAGAATGAGCAGGGTAGCTGAAGGGGCGGTGGAGCAGGTGTCCCGGTTGAAACGAAAAAAATTCAAGAAAAAGAAGCGCAGTGTGTTATCTAAACAGGTACGAGCTTTTGTTGCCGCACTAGATGACAGATGGGATCCGTCGAGTTGGGACGGTAACATCTGGGTAGACAAGGAGGTTGCTTACTTGTCTAAAATATATAAACAACAGACTGCACAACCCACAGATGCTCGAGTAGCTAGGCTGTTGGATAAAGGTGGAGGTCAGGTAGTGAATTCAGCGCATCGAGTCAGAACTTTGCAAGACTCGAGACCGTCGTTTGAAGCTTGTGCAGAGGCAGATGTTTCCTGGAGCATCGGATTGGTCTGATTTACAGGGGCATTGGGTGACCTTAGGGGAATGCGAGCAGAGATTGGTTCGGTTGTGTCTAAGGAATGCGCTCGCTGTGCGTTGGGTAGTAGATTATCATCTACATGTTTTTTCAAGGACTGATGTTCAAAGCCGAGTGTTGGAACTGGGTGCACTCGGAGATTGGAACACAGAGCTGAAAACCATGAAAAAAAAAAGAATTTAGTCAACTCATGGGTCATGGGCCGAGAAGGGACGGCCGGAAAAACATGTAGGAACCTACTCGTTCTTCTTTCTGGAGGGCATTAATACAGACAGGAGTGCCTCCAGCTAAGATGGATGGTGTGTCAGCAGAAGAGCTGAGGGCTGGAAGCCATTATTTGGATTAAAAGGGCCAAAAGTAGAAGGTCCAGAAGTTGACATCAACCTTCTGAAAGCAGATATTGTCAACATTGAACATCAAAGGTCCAGAATTAGAGAGCCCAGATTTTGACGTTAAATTAAAAGGCCCCAAACTTGAAGGTGATATTGATATTAAAATGCCAACGGTCAAAGGAGAAATTAAAACACCTGATGTTGACATTAAAGGCCCAAACATTGACATTGAGGGCCACAAAGGATGAATTAAAATGCCTAAAGCCAAGATGGTTGAAGGGAAAAGGGTGGATTTGAAATGTCTAAAAAAATGTCATCAAAGCACTTAAAGGGGATGTGTTAAGCTGGCTGCTTTGAAGGAAGTGCATCATATGTTGTTTATAAATGGTTCATCTGCAGCTGTAGTTTTGACAGCATCTAAAAACAACTTTGAAGTA